GGGACCCACGCTGGAGCAGTCTGTTCCTGAAGGGCTGCACCCCGTGGAAGGGACCCACACTGGAGCAGTTCACGAAGAACTGCAGCCCGTGGGAAGGACTCATGATGGAGAAGTTCATGGAGGACTGTCTCCCGTGGGAAGGACCCCATGCTGGAGCAGGGGAAGAGCGTGAGGAGTCCTCCCCCTGAGCAGGAAGGAGCAGCAGAGACAACATGTGACAAACTGACCGCAACCCCCGTTCCCCGTCCCCCTGCCACTCAGGGGGCAGAGGTAGAGCAGTCAGGAGTGAAGTTGAGCCTGGGAAAAGGGACGGGTGGCGGGGAGATGGTTTTAGATTTGTTCTTATTTCTTATTATCCTACTCTGTTTAATTGGCAACAAATTAGTCTCCCCAAAGCCTAGTCTGTTTTGTCCACAATGGTAAGTGGTGAGTGATCTCCCTGTCCTTGTCTCAACCCATGAGCTTTTCATCATGTCTTCTCCCCCTGTCCTGTTGATGGAAGGGGAGTGAGAGAGCAGCTTGGTGGGCACCTGGCAGCCAGCCGAGGTCAACCTACAACAGCTTTTGATTAAACCTGGTATTTAGTGATTCAAATGCTTTTTTCGAGACATTTTGCCCCAGAGGAAAGTTTCTCAGACTTACTTTGCTAGTCATACTTACCTTAAGTTGCTTTTATAACTTGAAGCCTGTGTCCTACAGCCAACTAGAGGATTGTGCTTGCTTTGATTCGGGCTTGGCAGGATGCAGGAGTGGCGTAAGCAGAGACCAGCAGCAGGACCTCACCGGGGACCAGCGGGGCCGGTGCCAGCCTTGAGACCCCGTCTAGGAGGAAGGTCTCCAAACCTGGTCTTTAGGAAAACCACAGACATTACGTCACGGTAAGTACCCATGACGTACATGCGACCCTCCCTGTCCCCTTGCACGCCGCTGTAAGGCAGCTGGAGGTCCCCAAGCCCCCCGGGGCCCGGTTCGGGGCAGAAGCCCTCACACCAGACGGCTGCGGCTCCCCCCTCCGCGGGCTTTAAACCCCACCGAAAGCCGTTCGCAGCCGTTAGCGACCGTTACCAACCGCCGTTAACCCCCTCGGCGCCGCCCCGGCACAGCATTCACCCTTACGGCCTTCCCGCCAGGGCCGGGCTCCGACCTGCACAACCTTGAGCGCTGCCCGCCGGACACCGCCCCGCCGGCGACGGCCCTCCTGCCCCCGCTCCCGCTCCCGCTCCCGCCCTCACCCAGCCGCTCCCGCCCGACCGGG